GATGCACCATGCTGGTCGACCGATGGACACCGAGCTATATACTGTACGTCCGAAGGTGTGGCCAATGAGGTTTATTGTGATTTAAAAAAAAATATTCTGATGGTGATGATGATGGTGCTAATAGGGTTGATGATAGTGATGATAATGGTCATAGCCATACTGGTGATAATGATAATGATAATTAGGATTGTGATAATGATGATAGTAGTATCGGTGACAAGCATGCAAATAATGATTATGATGATAAGAGCAATAATGATAATAATAATAGTAATCACCCTTACCGTACTAATAATAGTAAAAGTTATAGTAACAATTATAATGACAATGATAATGGTAATAATAGTAAGGATAAAGATAAGAATTGTGATATTGAAAATAATGGTAATATTGATGTAATAATGATGATGATAATTATGATGATAATGATAGTGATGACAGAAGTGATAATGATGGTAATGATAACAACAATAATTATAATATCTAAAGACACTTTTAAAACATAAAATATTGATACTAACAATAATAGAAACTAGATACATACATCGATTCCAAATGACCCATATTGCATAACATTGCCATCCATCATATCCACAACTATCGCAATACATTATCTTATTCCTTCACTGTCTTGCTCTTCCTTCGTCAGGTCTCGTGCACGACTTGGAAGCTGTTGTGGGGAAAGCTGACAGGGAAACAGACGCCTTCGGATGCATACAAAATTCATTACCAGACGATGGAGATGTCACTCTTAGGACAGAAGCTCAGTGTGAGTGTCTGTGGGAGAGGGTGGGTGAGAGGGAGGGAGGGAGAGAAGGGGGTTAGGATGGAGGGAGAGTGAGGGTGGGAGGAGAGAGGGTAATGGAATGGAGGGAGAAGGGAGGGGATGGGAGGAGAGAGGGGTTGGGAAGGGAAGGGGTAGGATGGGGGATAGGGAGGGAGAAGGCAGGGAAGATCGGAAGGAAACTGGGGAGAGAGGACGAGAGAGGAGAGAGAGAGAGAGAGAGAGAGAGAGAGAGAGAGAGAGAGAGAGAGAGAGAGAGAGAGAGAGAAGAGAGAGAGAGAGAGAGAGAGAAATGATGGCCATCTTTTTCCCTGTCTGCCTACCTGTGATGTAAATGACCCGCAACAGATATGATTGAAAAAAAATCCAAAAACGGTTGCTTTTCGCCCCCAAACTCTCATTATTCCATTTCCTTCCGTTTCAGAGAGAGGAACTTCGGCGGAAGATCCAAACCTACACCAAGTTCCTGGTGGTGCGCCACCCACTGGAGCGCCTCCTGTCCGCCTTCAGGAACAAGCTAGAGGGCAACGGCAGACCCGCAAGGGTGTTCAAGCGCGTCTACGGAGCCAAGATAATCCGGGAATACCGTCGAGGACCTGAGTCGTCGAGAGAGAACACGACTTCTGTCGAGGATCTCGAGAAGGAGTCCGCCAAGACGACCGGCGAAGACGTGAGGTTCTCGGAGTTCGTGTCCTTCCTGCTGGACAAGGAGGACTTGGCCATCGTCAACGAGCACTGGCGGCCCTACGAGTCCCTTTGCCACCCTTGCGCCCTCTCCTACGACGTCATAGCCAAGTACGAGAGCCTGGAGGAGGACTCGGAGGGGTTCCTGCGGCTCATCGGAGCTCCCGAGGGCCTCCACTTCCCTCAGTACGCGCCGACGAACACCTCCGCCCTCCTGCACTCCTACCTCGCCTCCGTCAAGCCAGACCGACTCGCGCAGCTGATGATGGCTTACCAGAGGGACTTCCAGCTGTTCCAGTACGATGGTGTGAGCATTCCAAAGGGCGCGATGCTGTGATTTACTCTTTGCTTGGATTGGAATGGAAGTGATAGAAATAGAGCTAAATCCATGAAATGCCTTTTCTCTTATCATTTAGAAGAATATGACTGGTTTTAGTTATGGATGTATAATATTTTACCTAAGCATATTAAAATGATGGTGCATTTCCATTTTGTGTCGCATACGTACACATGCACACACACACACACATATATATATGTATTTTTTATATATGTTCCAATTTCATATTTTATTCTAATTAATCTTTATTCAACTGTTATATTAGTGTGTTTTTCATATGCCTATTTATTTAAATGTTGGCCAATTCTAATTGCATTTACTGTACCGTTAAATCTTGTGGGTAGTGTAACCTAACGGTCTTTAAGGCTCGTGGGTGTGGGAATGAATAAATTCCTCTGCTGAGTGTGCCTATTATTATAACGGTCATAGAAACATTTCAGCCATTAATATTTTATTCAATAAACAAACAATGAACAAATGGCATATAATTCTTTAAATCTTAGCAATAAACATAAATATAAATAAGCAATATTCTTTAAAAATCAAACTCATATCCAAGGTTAATTCTATATACCCTCCCTTTTCCTATTAATTAGAAATCAAATTATATCAATAGACAAAAAAAATAATATATGTGAGACAGAATCGAGACCCTCACATCCAGTCTATCATTTCCCTTCTTTTAAGCTTAACCATTTCCCTCCCTTACTCTACACTCTAATAAATAAATTCCTTCTCAAACTATTAATTGATACCACCGGAACCGTCACCTGCGACTACTTCCGTCACTGTATCCAGGGACCACTAAAATAACTAAATAAACAATGGATATTCTTCTCTCAAATATAGCATTGTAGCATGTTCTTTTTCATTTCTCCTCTCTCTGTT